CCCCAAAACCCCAAAACCCCAAAACCCCAAAACCCCAAAACCCCAAAACCCCTATTAAGAATCAAATCGACAATATTTATAATATATATTTTTATGAGTGATCAAGATAGCAGCCAGGTACTTATTCATTCAGATGAGGGATGGTTAGAATATGAGAAAGCTAACACAATCTCTACGATCTAAGTTTTATCAGTTTGCTCGACGAAAAGAAGTCCTAAGAGATATTTAGCATTTATTTCTAAGTTTATTTTGATATCAAATCGATCAAATTTTTACTGATTTTTGAGAAAGTACATGACTGTATCATATGTGTTAGAATTTATAGATATCATACAGTTTGAGATAACTTTCATGATAAATTTTTATTTAGAGCTCAAACATAGAAGACTTAGTTCCAGATGCAATGGACAGTATGATGCTTCCACCCCATTGGATTTATGTACCATTGCCAACTCATGGAAATAAGGAGTTTGGATTTTACCACAATACTGAAACTAAGGAATGCAGCTTGACATCTCCCTTTGATATCGCACAGCTTCCATACATATACAGAAAGATGTTTGTAAGTCTTGATATTAATATCTCATATAGAAAGTTCCCTTGAGTAAATAGTCCTACTAATATCTAGGTTATGATGAAAAAGAGCTTATCAAAGCTATTGAACAAGCTTACAATATCCAAATCGAAAAGCAGAGAAAGTATGTTCAAGAAGTTAGAGAGGTAATAATCTTTCTTATTCAATCTTTAGGCTTCCAGAAAGAGTAAGAAAAGCAAGAAGAGAAAAGCTACTGCTCAAGTTTCTGAGGCTAAAGACCAGAAGAGGAGCAAGGAAGTAGACTCAAATGATTCAATTCCAGAGGTTATCACTGATTTCAAAAATGAGCAAGAAGTTGTCCATTACTGCAAGAAAATTCCTCTGCCTCCTTCTAAAGTGAATACCAATGATATGATATCATTCTTGACTCAGCTATGTGAAAAGCATTTGAACAAGAGACCAGAGTACAATTTTGAGTAAGATCCTGAGATAAAATTTTAGGAATTGTCCGCCAGCTACTCATAGGTGCATTGTGAAAATCCCTTACATTTCTCAGCCCAGTAACTTCTTATCTAAATCTATTATAGTCGAATTTATTAGTACAAATAAGAAGAAGGCAAAGCATGGAGCTGCAGATAAAGCTTTGAAGATGTACTTTACAAGGGTTTACACCGAATTTGTTCAACTAGGAGATGAAAAAGAGAAAATCAACCAAAAAGGTACATCCATTTCTCATCTTAATAGAGCTGAGAGCATGTGAGGAGGAAGAAATAGAATACAACAACAGCCTTATAAAGAAAGCTCAGTGGGAGCACTCCCAGAAAAGAAAGCTTGATTCTTCACTTCAAGAGCATGATTCAAATAGACCCTCAAGAGAAGATCTCTTGAAGGTAGAAGTCAAAGATCCTACTTTGATTGATCATATATGCTTACTGAGAGAATTTACCCCAAAGACGCTCCTCGAAGCTTACAAGATCAGAGTTAAGAAAGGCAGTCTAAAGCTAGACAGGAAGGTCGGGGATGGAGTTCATTACTGCACTGTTAGATTCTACACTGACCTCAAACAATATAAAGTGACTGGAGAAGGATCAACTGCCATGCAAGCAGAGTTCTTTGGGTGCCAGAAGATGTGTGGCTATGTTTTCAATGGACATCCTTTCTGGATAGAACTAGTAGTTCACGTAAAATCTCTTCCGATTGTAAAAAGAGTAAGACGTATCTTAATATTTTAGTCTATTCTTGATGAAAGTCTCTCTATAAGCTTCAAAAACATAGAGTCAGGCTCTAAATATGGGTCTACCTCTCTTTTAAAGTCAAAATCTCCTAAACCCACCAAAGCCACTAAGCCCAGAAGCATTCTTGACTTTAAGAGCGATAACCCTGAATCCAAAGTGTTAAATCCTACTTATGGTAAGTTTCTTGGTTCTCTTTGATTACTAAGTCAGATTTGACTTGTTTTTTCTCTTTCTCTTCGTAGCTAATGTTTTGACTTAGACCAAGATGAAACAGACCTGAAGAGTTCGTCACCAGAACAGCACAAGACAGTAGCTGAAACGATTATAATAGAATAATTCAATGAGTTTATTAAAAACCGGGGTTTTGGGGTTTTGGGGTTTTGGGGTTTTGGGG